AGAAGTGTTGAGCAGCCGATCAAAGTCATCAAGATTGATACTTGGACCATTTCACTTAACAGCTCACTGCCGGATGAAGCCTGTAAATGGCTCCTCTCAATGTAGCAGTATCAGGCAGTTTTGATATTTTAGTTCCACTGGACATCTTTTTTCTATCTTAGATGTTTTAGTTTGATACCTCAGTTTATTGAGAGACTTGATGTACATAAACGTTTACACTTTGGTGAGTGAAATAAAATCTTTTCATTAACAAAAAAAATATAGCCAGATTGTTATATATTTCAAATTTAGTCTAAAACCTTTTATATTTTCCTATCTTGTTCACAACATGGGCTTGAAAATACAATTGCTTCATAGTAGCGCAAAGCACTTACTTTAGTTATGCTTTAAGCAATGAAGCATGAGCTACAACAGATAAATTGTCTTCTATTTTGAGTTTCAAGAGATTTTCCTCTAAAAAAAAGTTTGAAAGCGAGTTCTAAAAATATTTTTCAAAAACTAAATAAATTGATCAATATAGAAGTAAAAGTAATTAAAGTATATATACACATACGTGGTAAAATGATAAAAAGAGATGGTCAGATGGGATTCTTATCATAAGCTATCACAATAGGTAGGCAAGAACATCATCCATCCTGATTAGATCATTATATGATCTATGCGTAGAAATAATTAGATATGATATTTACAAAATGAACTGGTTTTACGCTGCGTCAAAACTCAAAACTTTAAACTAGTTCAATTCATAATCTGGTATAAGTATAATTAACCACCTCTTTTGAAAATGATCTCATTTGAACAATCAACAATTTAAGCTACTTTCAAGACATGAAAGCCTCGCAAAGCGAGCCAGCAAAACATGTTGTCTCTAGCAAATCAAATGGTGAATCATCTCTAATACTACATCGTGGTTTCATCAATTTTATCATAATATGAATTAAGTAAATGAAAATCATATTCCTACAATTTCCACATAAAAATAAGAGGAGCAAAGTTAAGAGGATGAACAAAACAGAACTACACAACACTCATCCAAAATTGTAGGTCTTCAATGTTTCTGAACTATTATCATTTGGCAATTGCAACTTTTAAGCGTCTTTCATCTCTCAGGCGACTCTCTCTCTCTCTCTCATCATTTATGATGAAGGAGAAGTTAATGTGGTAATGGTGTGTTGGGGATTCGGTACATCCTAAATGGAACATGTTGCCATTGCCAAATTACCTAACCCATCAATATCCCTTGGTTTCTTTAATTAATTGCTAAGTAGTTCATGAAAAATGACTCATGGACCCCAAAATAGGGGACCTTGAGTGGGGTAGATGAGGTGTCGCCTCCCTGTCCCATGCAGGGTCCTCTATTTGGGGTCCCTGTAGCAACGCCCGTAGTTCACTAACGAAATATCATTGCACTAATCTCTAAGCAATCCTATTGTTAGAAGGTTAACAGTACAACCTATTACTACTATTAATTGTAACCCATCTACAATCAGCTATACTTATATATACAATACGTGCATGGGCCTCTTAATTAGTTGTAGACATCTATATTTACTAACACAAATAAGACATTGTAGGGTAGGGTGTTTTTTTGAAGGGAAGAGGATGTCAAAGTCAAAGATGAGGGAAAAGATGTCATTTTACATCAGAAGTAATTAACAGTGGTCATTTTATCCTCACTCTAGCTCCCTTCCGTTATTTTTAGTAATTTGAAACCCCTTTAAATTCTATCATTTATTAGGAGATTCTCTATCATTATATTTTCATTACAAAACCCCATGCCATTAAAAACTGTTAAAACCCAATTATATTTCAAAACTATCCTTTTGTTCTTCCTCTTAACACTTTTACATTATCTCATAGACAACATATAACGAGAAATTTTAAAATTACACCATATAGAAGCTGATATTAAAGGCTTTGAAGAGATTACCTCGCTTTCCTACTAATTTTCACTTTATCAACCGTCCTCATTATTTGTGATCAAGAGATGGGAGATGGAATAACTAGATGGGTGTTGTAATGAAAAACATGGACTACAAAGGGTTTTTGTCAAACTTGAAGGGGCTTTCACGATAATTAGCCATAGAAAACACTCTCGTCATATACATAATAAAAAATATATTTTAATTACATACTTAAAAAGAATTCAAAATGCAAATGATAACTTTTTTCAAGTGGCCTACTATAACTTCAGTCTGGAACACTAAAGTGACAGGTTATGCCATGTTTTCAGTTTATTCAAAGCTCAAGCTTCTTAAAATTGCTCTAAAGGAACTGAACAAAAGGCATTTCAAAAACTTCAGTGAACAAGTGATAAGATCAAAACAAGCTCTTCAAGATGCACAGAAAAACCTGCAAGTGGATCCTCTCAATCAGTCCTTCATTGATCAAGAAAGGAAATGCACAGTCTCTTATAATAAATTACTGGATTGTGAGCTCTCTTTCTATCAACAGAAATCAAGAATTTTATGGAGCCTTCAAGGTGATAGATGTACAAGCTACTTCCACTCTGTGATTAAATCCAAAAGACATCAAAATAGAGTCATGGTCCTCTATAATAATGCAGGGGAAAAACTCACAGATGGAGAGGAAATAATATCTGAACTTATCTCCTTCTACAAGAGTCTCATGGGCACAACAACTGACACTGTCAAGCCAGACAAGAAAATTATTGGCAATGGCCCTTGTCTAAGTCCAACCCAAGCTAGGAATCTGATAATTCCAGTCAGTAGAGAGGAAATTAGAGATGCTGTTTTCTCTATGTCAGAAAATAAAGCCCCAGGTCCTGATGGGTTCAGCATGTCTTTCTTTAAAACTGCATGGGGAATTATTGGGGATGAAGTCTCTGTTGCCATTGAAGATTTTTTCAAGAATGGTAAGTTGTTGGGTGAGATTAACTCCACGTCCATTAACCTAATCCCTAAAGTTCAGTGTCCTAAAATGCCATCAGACTTTAGACCTATAGCATGTTGCAATTGTCTATACAAATTCATTTCAAAAATCCTAACAAATAGGATTAAATCAGTGATGGGATCACTAGTTAATGAAGCACAAAGTGCTTTTGTTAAAGGGAGGCAAATAACTAGTAATGTTCTCCTTGCACATGAGCTTGTCAAAAATTACAGCAGGAAACACATATCTCCAAGAGTTATGCTTAATATGGATATCAAGAAAGCTTTTGACACAATCAACTGGGATTTCCTCAAGGAGATGTTATGTGGATTGGGGTTTCCTGAGACTATGATAGGCTGGATTATGGCCTGTATCACCTCTCCCAAATACTCTATTGCATTAAATGAAGCTCTACATGGCTACTTCAAAGGCAAAAGAGGACTGAGGCAGGGAGACCCCCTCTCACCTTATCTCTTTATCCTTGGTATGGAATACCTTTCAAGAGGCTTGAATATGCTAAAAGATGACAAGAAATTCAAATTCCACCCAAGGTGTGGCAAATTCAGTATCACCCACTTGATTTTTGCAGATGACCTCCTCCTATTTGCAAGAGGAGACCTGTACTCTGTAAATAAACTGCAGCAATGCTTCAGGGAGTTCAGTGCAGTGTCAGGTCTTGAAGCAAACTCAAATAAATGTTCGATATTTTTTGGAGGGGTTGATGTCTCAACCAAGACATCAATTATTAACAGTCTGGGATATCCAGAAGGAGCTATGCCCATTAGGTATCTAGGTGTACCTCTCATCTCCAAAAGATTATCATGCTTGGATTGTGCACCTTTGCTAAACAAAATCAAAGATCAGTTTCAGTCCTGTGCAAACTACAGACATTTATCATATGCTGGAAGACTTCAGCTAATCAAAAGCACAATTCTAGGAATTCAAGTGTTTTGGACATCCAACTACATCTTACATGTTGGAGTTCTTCAGAGAATTGATATTCTTTGTAGGAACTTTCTGTGGGGGAAACAGGATCACCAGGTCAAAGCGAATTCCTTGGTTGCATGGGACAAAGTGAGTTTGGGGAAAAAATATGGAGGCCTGGGAATATACTCTGCCTCCATGTGGAATTATGCTTTAGGTCTGAAGATTTTGTGGAATATACATATCAGGAAAGAAAGCCTCTAGATGAAATGGATACATGACACCTATCTTAATAACAGAGATATTTGGCTTGTTCAAGCTAAAAGTGGCGACTCATGGATGTGGAAACAAATCTTAAAAACCAGGGACAAAGCTTTTTCTCAAATGGAGGGGTTGATAACTTGATGCAATTGATTAACTCCTGTGTTAATAATTCAAAAGTTCAGATGTCAGCCCTCTACCATGCTCTCTCAGCAAACTCTGTGCCTGTACCATGGTATAACACAGTCTGGGAAGGAATCAGTTACCCAAAGCATTCTTTTTTGAGCTGGCTAGCTGTGCAAAATAGCCTGCAAACTCAAGATAGGCTTCTCAAAAGAGGAATTATAACCAGTAACTCCTGCTGTTTATGTACAAGAGCTGAGGAGAATAGAGATCACTTGTTTTTTGATTGTCATTTCTCAAGTGAAGTCTGGTTGGTTGTGATGGATTGGCTGAAATTTTCATGGAGATCTTGTGTGTGGAATCATATTATGGACTGGTATTGCTACAAGTTGAGAGGTAAGGGAGACAGGCAAAAGATCAAAAGGATGGCTCTCTCCTCAACACTATATTGCATATGGATTGAGAGGAATAACAGAATTTTCAAGAATAAATTCAGGAATGCAGTCCAGGTGTTTGGGGAAATAAAGATCAGTATGCTATACATCATCCTCAATAGTACAAGTCTTCTTGACAGCAGAGATTGGATACTGTCACTATAGATGTAAATAATTAGAATATGAAGTTGTAATCTCATATTTGAGTATCTTGATGTATATTCTTTTCATATTTGGTGAATGAATAAAGTCTTTTTCATTGACCAAAAAAAAAAAAAACTTTTTTCAAGTGACATATATTTGCACAGAATTTTTTTTTTCCATAGGCTTGAAGCGTTAGGTGTAACTAGAAATGTAAAATCATACCCCTAGAGAATCCATCCTCATCGAGCAACCCTGACAACCTTCACAATTTACCCAAAGAATATGACTTCCTGTATCAATATGCACTGTCAAATTCTGTGGAGGCGTCCCGATCATTACATCAGTATACCACAACCTTCAATCCAAACACGGGGAAAATCAACAAAAACCTAGAAATAACAAACATGGGCAGCAAGCGAAATGAAAGGAAGATTACTATATATACATACATAACGGTAAGGTTGCCGCCCATATAAACATCAATGGGTTTTCCAGCGAGCATCCGAGAGTGGCGGTGTTCGTCGTGTTTCTTGAGAACGTTAATGTGTGGTCTGCCTCCTCCGGTGTACTTCTTCTTCACTCTGAAAACGCCTCCTTCGCCTTGGGCGACGACAGGAAGGAAGACCAAGAGGATGAGAGAGAACGCAGAGAGAAAAGAGATCTTGGGAGAATCCATAGTGAACGAAACAAGAAGGGAGAAAGGAGGGGAGATGAGAATGGAAGAGGAGTAACCTTTCTGCGAATTCTTTAAATGGAGTTGCTGCAGATATGAGCTGAGGGGATTCATGGATTGAACGAGTCATGTGCAGATACTGTAGGGAGGAAGAAGACCCGATCAAAGAGGAACTACAAAGCCTCGCGTGAACTGAAAAACGCCCCAGTTTCGGATTCTGGATTTAATTTTCACCTATGTGCTCTGATACGGGATAATAATATGTGTATTTCGTCACATTGATCTTCAATATTTTGAGAGAATGCCTCAAATCATTGAAATTGCAATTAAGCCACATTGTTATTAGTATTTCCCTTAAGCGGTTGTTTGGTTCGGTTCCCATGTATTCCGAAATACAATTCCATGTAAAGAAATCAAAGTTTTGGGTTATTTAAATTTTTTCAAGAAATAAATTGTTTGGCTTTGGTTCACAACTAAAATATTGCGAGAAACATGTTGATATGAAAAAAAAGGAAAAACTTTTGTTTGGCTGGTATGAAAAACTTTTGTTGAATAGACATTTCCCACTTTTCTTAAAAAAAGGAAAAACTTTTGTTTGGCTGGTATGAAAAACTTTTGTTGAATAGACATTTCCCACTTTTCTTGTATTTGGTTGGCATTGAATGGTATGAAAAACTTTTGTTGAATAGACATTTCCCACTTTTCTTGTATTTGGTTGGCATTGAAGTGTGTAGGAAAAAGTGTATACGATCACCATGGTAAGTTTACCTCCACTAAAGATAAATTTATTTGTAATCGTCACTGCAACAAAATACAACATTATCGACGAAATAAAAACGTCGGCAAAAGTTTAAAAAATTTTGGGAAAAATCTTTCCTGACGCAAAATGCAGCGTCGCTAACGCGTCGCCAAAAGTGCGTCAAAGGAAGTATTTGGCGACGCAAATACAATGCGTCGCCAAAAGTACACTTTTGGCGACGTGTCATGCGTCGGGAAAAGTATATCTTTAGCGACGCATAATATTTTGCGTCGACAAAACGTGTACTTTTGGCGACGCATGCAGCGTCGGCAAAAGCTATGCGTCAGCAAAAGTATAGCTTTTAGCGATACAAAATTGTTCGTCGATAAAAATTATACTTTTGGAAACGCAAGTTAGCGTCGGCCAAAGTTTAGCTTTTAGCGATGCAGAATAAAGCGTCGCTAAAAACTATACCTTTGGCGACGCAAAATAGCGTCGCTAAAAGATATTATTTTTGGCGACGTAATATAGCATCGACAAAAATATAATTTTTAGTCGGTAAAAAGTATATTTTTATTGACACTAATTTGCATCGCCAAAAGTAATATCTTTTCTATCAACTACACTGAACCTGAACATCCATAACAAATTTGTTCTCATTCACATCAACAAAGAAACCAAACATCAAATTACACTCCAAACAAGTTGCATATTAACAGCTAAAATAATATATGTGCTTATTTTCACAATCATTAAATTAAAACAAGTAATAACATTAGTAAATAAATTTAAACGCAATTCTATTAAACAAATAACAAGTGTTTGACACATGTTTTATTAACAAATCCAACAATCATGATAAAGTAGACTTGAACAATAAAGACTACGGAGAACTCATGTCTTATCAACGTTACAAGCCTTTCCTTCATCACGTCTCTGACTTCTTCTTCCCATCTTCACCATCCATCTCCAACTTCTGTTGTGTAGCTGCAATGGAAAGAAATGTACTCAGTAATGCAAATAAAAAGTTAAAATCAAACACAAAAAAATGTACTCAGTAATGCTCTAACATAAACTACAATGAGAAAACTCAACAACTATATCTACTACTGTTCTTTCAGATTGAGAATAGCAGGTAGCCTGGTGCAAGTGGTGTCGAATCTCACACTTTTCAACTAGGAAGAGGGTTTACCACTATGCTAGAATAATATATAAGTGTGGTTAAATAAAAAGTTTCATATTTATCTTAATATACATTAAGTTCTCCAATTAAAGGAACCTTGTGTAAGGTCACCAAAGTTGAAAAACATCAGTCCTGTGGAAAGACACATGCATCATCAGGGAATTGAACAAAGCATTAGATACAGGGGAAACAATAGCAACATTAAAAAGCAATATAGAGGAAACAATAATGACAGACCTGAGAAGATTGACGACAGCATCATAGAAGCCCTGAAGAACTGTTGCTAAGATGAGTACATTTTCATCATCACCTGCAATGATAAAAAAGTGCAGGTCCTAGACAAATTTGTAGACGACAATGTATCCATCGAACATTGCAATTTCGTCTGCAGTAAGTCAGGTTGAGCTAATGTATTTGTTTTCCAAGTGACGATATCAAACATGGAAAGCTTAATCTGATACACAAGTACACATAACCAACTAACCAAGATATATCAAACATGGAAAGCTTAATATATACCCCAACGGTTACAATCGTTGGGGGTAGTTAGGTAAATTAAAAAAAAGGAAAATCAGCTTAATATATGCCCCACATGGCATACTTGAACCTACTTTTTGCTGGAGCAACCAAAATCACAAAGCAATGCTCACCTTGAATAGCCAGGGAAATCACAATTTGTAGAAAATCAAGAATATTTATTCAGCTTATATAGCCAGGGAAGTGTAGATAATCAACCATGCTCACCTTGAAGTAAAAGAAATAATGTCACTGCAACCTATAGTACAGAAACTTTATTTTCTATACAAAGCAATTCTGTGGTTATTCTCATATACCAAAGAAAAACAACAAATTAAGTAGGTCGAATACATAAGAACTAATATAGACGTGAATGCGCACTTACCTGCAAACGTATGAAGTTGGCCAAGCTTGACATAAAAAGAAGAAATATGATGTTGATTAGCTTAGAAACGCTCATGCCCAGAATGAAACTCTACCTCTTAAAACTCACTGGAAGGTCTTTCCTGAGGACTGCTTAGGTGAAGAGAATTTACCTCCAAATTAGATTGTGGGGTTTGTGAGACTGAATTCACCATTTGCAACTGGCCAAACTGTTGGCATTGAACTCCATAGGGTTTGTAACGTTGGATTGAAATATTAAGAGCATAATTCCCGGTGGACAAAAAACTATCTGCGACTCGAGTGGCATAATTCAGTATCTGTTCTAGTTATGCATCAAAGGGAGCCTACACCAACAACGCATCCGTATCTGTTCTAGTTGGGTTATCTATGTTCAGCTGAAAAAGAAGAGGAAAAATAATAAGAAGAAGAAACTAGAAATAGCACTAATAGTAACAGGTAATGCATAATAATTCCAAAATCTATTTTCCTCTAACACACAGGACATTAAAATGATAGTTTCCATTCTCACAATAAAATAACAAAGAAAATAGTTTCACAGTAAGGATACTACCTCCCAGCGGTGTTCCACAACACTCTTCTGCAACTTTTTGGAGAATAAATTAGACGGTGGATTCAGCCTAAAAACAGAGAAAAGGAAGAATAATAAACTTTCAAGACACCAGCTATCAGCAAAGTAGTCATATTCTAGATAGCACCTAACTTTGGAAGTGCAAAAGTGTCACGCCCCGCTTCCCAAAATACACGGGAATCGGAACGTGAACAAGCCCGTGACGTATTAGATTGAGAAGAAATATACTCTACTTTTTTTCCCTTTTCTTTTCTTCTTAATCCAATACGCTAAGCGTCTGGAAATAAGTACAATGTGAAGTCAAAGGTCCCCGATCACACATAGCAAGAATATAAAGACAACCCAGAATAAAAATAGACATATCATCAATGGTAAATCATCTCAGACATAAAATATGGGTCAAACGTACCCTTATTACAACAATAGTTCAACTAGGAAATAAGAAATACATAGTCCATAATGTATGCGGTAAAAAATACCTCTATAGGCTTACAGGGAATTCGCCTACGAGAGGAGCTCGCACGCTCAGTTCTTTGGCATGGGCCTAAGTCGCGTAGACGTCAGATAGGCTCGATGCTAGGTTCGCCTAACGGTCGGCTCGCCAGCATGAGTTAAGATCGATCAGGATGGCGGAAGTTCGCCTTTCACCCAACTCGCCTGCCCGAGTTCAGGGTCGACTCTGCCAGCAAACCCCAAGATCATCAGTACAGCTGGGTATCCGCTACCCCACGTGCTGAGATGGGCCTTCCCATCCCTCTCGACCCGAAGGGCTGGGTATCCGCTACCCCACGTGCTGAGATGGGCCTTCCCATCCCTCTCGACCCGAAGGGAGAGGGCACGGTACCCCAAGACCGTCAAACGGCCGCTTGCAGTACGCACAGCATGAAGGACTGGACAGGTGTCGAGTCAACCTGAGCATTCATAAATGCGACTCACCTCGGTTGTCTGAGTCAAGAGCTAGATCCGCCGGCACTCGACAAGTTGGCTAGACCCACTCAAGTATTGTGCACCTACTTCACCGCCTCTCCTGACCGGAAAGGAGAAAACGCCTTGCCCAAAGCACGCCGGGCGGTCACGCACAGTACGAGTGATCCGACAGACACCTCATCAACCTGCGAACTCATAAATGCAGTTCATTAATGATGGTCAAGTCCACTCGGATAGCAGACGGTTGTTGCCTCATATACAAGGATGGGCCTTCCCATTTTAGGTGACAGGACATAAAGCATAATCCCTCGAATGACCATTCATGGTATCGAGGAACAGCTGGTCGCCTCTGAAGAAGATGTGGTCACATCCCATAATTCAAGGAGGAGTCAAGCTGTCTCTCTTTCATTTAAAAGCCCCTTCCAGCACACTGGAGGAGAGGTCGAAAACTTAGAGAAAAGAGTTGAGACCAAGTTATTAGCAGATCCTTGCATTACAGCACCACCGCCTAGTTCTGAGCTCCGATCGCCGACGAACTAAGCAGACCCGAACTCTATTAACCCGAGCTTCTACTGCGTACTGAAGCTCCCCAGCAACCTCATTCGAACGGTCCAAGGGTGTAAGCATCGAAAATTTCCTATAGGTCTCCACGAACAATTCAGTGTTAAAGAGCGATGATGAACATCACTATCTGGTTCACAGGAGTTTGACTGACGATTGAAGTAAACCGACGAACTACATGAGCTGACAGAATTTCAGGATAACGAAGGCACGGGCTAATCGAGAGCCCCACGATGTTACAAAAAGAACAACGCCCTTCGTGTCTCGTCCATTCTACAGATAATCCAACCATTGGAGCTGATAAAACTCTTCGTCAGATTTCCAACGCACTTCGAATCACTAAAATCCGAGTTCGGACGAAGAATTTACAGCGAAAGCGGATGAATGCACCTCAACGGAATGTCTCGGAAATTCCGAGACATCCCAGGGGTGTCTCGGGTTTTCCGAGACACCCTAGGGGTGTCTCGGATTTTCTGAGACACCCCAGGGGTGTCTCGGCTTTGCCTAGACACCCCAGGGGTGTCCCAACGCCCTAGGTGCCCTCTTGCCTATAAATAGGAACCTTAGGGCCTCATTTTGGAGGATCTGGATTTTTGGGGAGAGTTGGGGAAGCCCTGCTGCAGAGAAGAGTGGCCGAGCGCTTCAACACAAGAGAGGTCTTCATCAGATTCGCATCACCCGTGTTCGTTCCTTAGCTTTACCCTTCGCCGGTAATCCTAAGAAGAGCAAATATCTCGCTTTAGCTGAGATAGGCGCTTCAAGCTTCTCCATTGCCGCCGCTGCGCCCGCACCACGTGACGTTCCCGCGTCGCCCAACGTGGTCGAGACCGCAGATCCGGACTTCTCCTCCGCCGAGGAGATGGCTACTGAAGACACTCCAGCATTGTCAAAGAGAGCCCGCCAAAGACGGCGTCAACGCCTTGCGCGACAGTTGGCCAAGGCCGCAGAATCGATTGACGGGATCCGCTACAATGAGGATCTAAAGTCCAGACAGCGCCAAGAGCAACAACGGCGCACATCCGCTACAATGAGGATCTAAAGTCCAGACAGCGCCAAGAGCAACAACGGCGCACAACCTACTCCTCCCCCAAGACAGAAACGAACGAATGGGTTCATGTCAAGAGGACTCGCTCAACCCTCGAAGAACGAATCAAGAAGCGTCGAGCATTGCTCGCACATGCCCGAGCCCTTTTGCAGAAAGCAAAAGAAATGCAGAGGGGAGAAGCAGTGGAGAAGCCGCCTAAGCACAAGCAAGATTAGGTGCCAAAGACAAAACCAGCACTTAAGGCAAAAGCAGGCGACGTTGCTCTCCGGCTTTCGTCAACTTCAGGTCCTGAGCCTCCGTTAAAGCCATACCGCAGAGTGGATTTCCCCAAGTTTAGGATTCCTCTGAAGGATCGTATCAGTGCTCTACCCGAGAATCGAGGAAAAGCGCTTGTTAAGGAAAGCTGGAGATCGTTGAAGGAGCTTCGAGCCAACATCCGGACTGGGGGTCATACGCGACCTCCTAACAAATGGATTTCTACAACGGCCCGCTTGGCAGTGCGTGCAAAAAATCAGGAGCCCGTTAAGGTTTCACCCTCACAAAGGTGTGATTCCAAACGTGCGACTCTTGCAGACGCCAACAAGGTAATGTTTACTCAGAAGAAAACACGTTAGACAGACGAACGCGTTATACCTGAGAATCCATGTGAGCAGCCGATAGGTTACTTCGACCGTAACGTCAATGAGTTGTACTATCAGGCTAGGGGTATGAATAAATCTCGAAAGAGAAGTACCCGGGAAGCGGACTCTCTCTGTCCGTGTATCAAAATTATCAGGGCAGTATTATCAACGTGTAGCTGCCCCAAGACCGCTCCGCAGAGGGTCTCCATATTCGATGGAACGACGAAGCCCAAATCAAGGCGTTTCCACCAAAGAGGATCGGTTGCTCGAGGTGATGAATTCCCAGAAGTTACCATCAACATGGTCAACAAGGGAAAATCTCCAATTGTTTCAAGTGGTTCCGACCCTAATTTCTCTCCAGGAAGCATAGTCAATTCGGGAATAGCTCAGCTTCAGCTAGAAGCCGTCGGATATAACGATTACCATAGGATCCATGAAGGAATCCATTCTGATGACGAACTCTCAGATTCTTATTCCGCACTCGCCTCCGACGATACAATGTATAGCATAGGGCAAGCTCGAGAAGTGTTCATGGTCAACACCGAGCAAATAGCCAAAATCATTGAGGATGCTCTAGCCAAGCAGAAAGAAGCATTCAAAATAGAAATGGAAATGGCTATGCAGGAGATGAGACAAATGCACGACCAACAAATCCGAGCTTTGTCAAATCAGCTAGTTGAATCCAGCCATCGCACCCAGAACGCCGCAGTTGACAGCGATCCGGAAGTGGACGAAATCATCATGGCCGACGCACCGCCCAAAAATACTGGGGGTGACCCCACTAAAATTAACGACGCTGGGGGTGGACCCACCAATGATGATAACACTGGGGGTGGCAGTATTATTCCTCTCGAAAATTATCCAAAACAGGATATAGACGAGGCCGAAAAGATGAAGGATCTGGAGAGCAAAATTAATGCTTTAATGTCTGCTCAAGAGGTAAAGAAGACCGGCATTCCGTGTCCTTACCCGAAAGAGTGAGACTCGATCCCGTATCCAGCAAAGTTTAATTTAATCAACTTCACGCCGTTCGACGGGAAGGGCTCCCCCACTCAGCACCTGATCTATTTCAAGTCCCATTTGGGAGTGATCTCTGGCAACGAGCCTCTGATGGTCCGGTCATTTGTTGGCACCCTTCGCGGGCCCGCCTTCGATTGGTACCGCCGCCTCAAGCCCGGAAGCGTCAACAGCTGGGAGGACCTGGAAAGCATGTTCCTCGCTCATTTCTTCGATGATGACGCCGAAGTGTCGATCAGAACACTCTTCGATGAGAAACAAAAAGACGGAGAGTTGGTGGATACCTTCATCAAACGCTTCCGCAATCAGGCAATGAACTGCAAGGATCCCATCACGGAGGAATTCATCTTGCAGACTTGTCATAATAATTTGTCCATTAACATCTTGGATGTTATGGGAGTAGAGCCGCTCAATACCCGGAGAGAGTTGAAGGTGCGCGGAAAATAGGCCGAACGCTTCCTCAGAAGGAGGAAGGTCGAAAGAAACCAACCGATGGTTAACCCTCTGAATTCGAGTCTCGTGTCTCATGATGAAGGGAAGGCACCCACAACAGTTATTGACGTTAATCAAACTGTAGGCTGTCTAAAAATCACAATAGATAGCTGAGTCTCCATCGAACACTGATGATGAAAGTTACAATCTGACGACTTCCAGAAGGCTACAATTCGAAGATTTTCACATGTCAAAGAGTTAAAGAAAAGATTACAAAACGACAGTCTTTAGCAATACTCTTACAGAAAGGGATTACAAATCAACGATCTCTTCAAACCAAGACGTGGAAGTCCTCCCCGCGTACCATCATCAAGACACTACACCGATTCAATCACCTACGCCGCTTCAACAGCTATAAACACGAATGCAGCTTCTTATGTGAGATGATTGATCTTGATGGCTGCGACAACAACATGACTAATATTATATTAGCAACCATTAGAGGTGCTGATGAGCAGTGTAATGATATT